GCCAAGTACAGTCCGGCTTCACGGTGTGGGGGCTCCCCTGCAAACCCCCCGCCTCCACCTCGCTCCCGGGGCGGACGTGCGCCCTCCATCCGCCCAGAGCCGCAGCGCTGGTTCCGGATACAGCCCCTTCGCCCCACAGCAGCGTCCCCCCGTGGGACTGGGGGCCCCGAGCTGTCCCCAGGCCCCTCTTGCCTTTCCAGTTATGAACTTCTGGGCCATGCGGATGATGAGGTAGGCCCAGAAGATGTGCAGCGACTGCAGCACCACCACCATGAAGTTGAAGAAGTAGTAGCCGAAGAAGGCAGGGTAGAGCTCTAGCGGATAAACCACCGTGCAGTGCATGATCCTGCCGGGAGAAGCAGCTCTGTTACGGGCAGGGACTGGTGTCTCACCCCCAGGGGGTCTCCCCGCCCCATGCCTCAGTTTGCCCCGCCCCGTGCCTCAGTTTCCCCACCCATTCCCCAGCGACCAGCACTCACCAAAAGGGCAGGATGACCAGGCGGGTGACGATGAAGACAGCGGCAAAGACGATGAAGATGTTGTTGCAGGTGTTTCTCCAGCCGGCGTAGTTAAACATCTTGGCGGACTGCGGGGGCAGAAGGGGGGTGAGTCGGGGAGGCCATGCGGGCCGTGGCCGTGGCGGCCTGGGGAGGGACGTACCTCCAGCAGATAGTCCGACGAGTCGTGCAGGGCCATGATGAGCGTCCCTGCACGGATGTAGTTGGCGAACCAGGAGAAGCTGATGAGGATGATGGTGGCGACGTGGTGGATGATTTGCTCTTTGAAGTCCTGCGCCCAGGAAAGGGGGAGCCGGGGCTAGAGCAGCCTGGCTCCGAGCCAAGCGCCCCGCCAGCCCTCTCACCTCCAACATCCCCTCCGTGGCCCCAGATCCCTCATGCCCACAAGGGTGAAGAAAACCCTGCTGAGACGTCCCCGTGTCCGCCACCCCGTCCCCACAGAGCCCCACCGCTGCAGCCCACCTTGCGCTTGACGTCGGAGGCGATGCTGAAGAGCAGGGACCAGTAGAAGGAGAGCTCGATCATGTAGTACCAGTACTGGGAGGGCAGCATGCTCTGAAAGCCAAGGGACAACCTCATGCCCACAAGGGTGAAGAAAACCCTGCTGAGACGTCCCCGTGTCCGCCACCCCGTCCCCACAGAGCCCCACCGCTGCAGCCCACCTTGCGCTTGACGTCGGAGGCGATGCTGAAGAGCAGGGACCAGTAGAAGGAGAGCTCGATCATGTAGTACCAGTACTGGGAGGGCAGCATGCTCTGAAAGCCAAGGGACAAGCTGGGGGGATCCT